GAAAAATTGATTAACCATGCCTTATGCAAAATGCGTCTTAATTGAAAAATAAAATATTTRTTTMAAAWTAGAATATATGACAATATTAAAATATAATATATCCTAGACTGACAAATCATCTCCGTTCAGAATCGTTTTTCGTATACAATGATAACCATCATTGCATTCAAATCTAACCTACCCTAGTCAGAGGTCTACCCCACCACCTAATGTATAGCAGAGCGACATCCACTTACCCGGTTTTTTTTTAATTTTAACAAGAAATATACGATCCATGAGCACAATAAGAATATGGGATATAATATATATTTTTTTTTACATGAAAACGTGAGGGAAGAAGCCATCCAGTGAAAGCACTACCTATTTGTTTATTATTAATTTTTTATTTTATATAATTTCAATTTATTCATATAGTAAATATCGACACCATTTTCTTAATTGTAAAGATAGTTCAGTAACTTAAGCAGCTTCAAATGTGACTTTTTACGTGCATCAATACTAATCGTTTCGTATTCGAGGAGCTCGATAATTTCTCGGGTGTATGGTAAACATAAAATCATAATGATTAAATTTAATGTTCCTATGTAACAAAAATAGCGAAAACAAAAATCATAACATATCAAAGAATACGGTTTATTACGTAACGAGAAATTGGCTAATAAAAGAATATTTATTAATTTGTTCATGTTGGGTTGTAATTGCAAATGCAATGCGAAAAAGGCTACCTGAAGTCGTTAAGAATATTTTGAATAAAATGTATTCGATATTCGACCTAATCACAATTTATCAATAATTATCGATATAATTATGAACTGTATACGGTTGCAATGGAAACCGGAAGATATACCTTTGAAAAGAAATATGGCCAGAGAAAACAAAAATAAAAATGTTGTATCCAAAAACTTAATTAATTATTATACATATTATCTACCTATATACATTAAACATTAAATATTTATTTTTCTCGTTATAATGTATAGGCGTAATTTGTTAAATATAATATATTATAATACACMATAAAAACAAATAAGACATCATTCAAAAGTTAAAACAAAATGATTTATTTGTATTATAAAAAAATTATAATTTCAAAACAATATTATAAAAAAAAAATTCATAATTGATTTTGATTGAAACTGGAACTTTACAATCTAAACTTAGAATAGTTATCTATATAATTATAAATACAAAGCTTAGTGTTAGGTTTTGGTACAAATACAATAATAATAATAATCATAATGATAGAAAAACACGTTGAATGTCGTCATTATTCTATTATTTAAAAAAATATAATACTAAAATAATAAGTAAAACTACTATTTAATTCAGACGTACGTGTTTAAGTCTTTATTATTTATATTTGGGTGATTAAGGCACGTTCAACATCACATTAACATTATATATTATTTATATATTTTTTTAAATAAGAATTTATTTTTAATAGACAAATTTAATGCCGGCATTTTCTATAATGCCGTTAATGACACCCTGTAAAATCAGTTCTGTAATACGCCTAGCAAAAATTATGATTATCAAAATTATATTTATAAGTAAAATCATTCAAACTTATTTTAATGCCTTTAAACAGGCTACAAAAAAAAAAAAAAATAAGGAAAAATTCACAAATAAAAGTTATTTAAATAGTATTTTTTTTTCGATACTCACTACAATATTATACTAATAAGTACATGCTTAATATGCAACATATCTTAATATTATAATCGAGTGCGGGCCTGCTTGTCAAAATAATATATTGTACTATAAATGAAAACATAKTTTTAATTATTAATTGCTTGAATTGATAAAAAATAAATAAATAAATAGGTTCTTAAATAGATAGGTACTACATAGATATATTACTATCATATGATAGTTTAATATATACAAAACTAAAAAAAGAAATGCACAACAAACATTCATATACCTTAAATGAAAATATTTTATACATAAACTGTWATATATTTAGAGGACGTCDAATTTATAATGATAGRATTACAGGCTTCAMCGTTTCAGTTAGATGATCTAATAGATCATAAACTTTATTTAACATTTTTTTWAARTTAATATCAATCGAGTGCCGAAATACCTTYCTCATCAGAATTTTTTTTTTTAACAACAGTTTATATTTAAAACAATCTAATTTAAAGTYTTAAATAGTCTAAATATGCTACTAATTGTTCATAATATATATATAATTAAACATACATGCATGCAAATTACATTCTATTTTTAAAACTGTTTGAAAAATCGAGACATTCATTATTAAGATTTGTGTTAAATTTGAGCAAAAATTATGATGTAATAATAATTATAATAATAATAATAATTTGAAATGTTAAGTAAAACACACATTGACACATTATTGTTTATTCTCTGAGGATAGATTTAAGTAAGAAAGTCGAAGGAGATCTATTTTTGAGTATACATATATATCTATACATTTATACGTATTATATTTTATGCTATACGTATAAACATATAGATATATATCTAATAGAAATATAATAATAATAATAATATTAGGCGCCGTGGTCTAGATTATCTCTCAACACATMAAATATAACTATTACAGCACACGGAACGTACCAAACCGAAAACATTTCTTGTAGTTCGATACGCTCGTACTGGTTACATTAATTATTGTAATTAATAATTATAATAATAATAATAATAAAAAATAATAATAATAACAATAAATATTTATCTTAAATAAACCTTAAACAAAAAGGTACGTGTATCTACGTGTAAATATAATAACTAGACTATATCATCATCATCATGAATAATAATAATAATAATATTATAGAATTCAAATCGTTTTTTGTTAAAGATAAAAAACTAAAATAAAAATAATAACAACGGAGTTCCTCGCAGAGCGTCCACGAGAATAGGCGAAGACGAAAAAAAAATTATGTGGATTGATCCGGTAACTATTGATTTCCTTTGGGAATACGATACAAAAAAACCTACCTATGATAACATTATATTATGTGATAATATTATCGTGTTGACAACAAAAATATTAAAGGTCGACATAATAATAATATTGTTTGCACATATAATTATAATAATAATATAGTAAGTGTATGTCTGTTTGTCTGCGTAGACTGGTCGGCGGCGGCAACGGCATATGATATAATGTATATTACGTAGTCATCGGCGCCTACAGTTTGACCGATAGCCGCGTGGTGGCGGCGGTCGGGTCCGACGCGGTGACAGTGGTAGCAGACTTGGGCGAGGAGCCTTTGCCGCTGTTGTTGTTATTGTTGTTATTGTTTGCCGCGGGTGGAGACGACAGCGTGTCCGAGGCGACGCTGCCCGAATGACTGTTCCGGCTGTACCAGTCAGCCACTATACCGCTCTCGGTAGACTGGCTGGAGCACTGACTGGTCTGCCGGGCRCCCTCGCTACTCCGACAGCTGGCGCCGCTGCTGCTGCTGCTGCCACTGCTGCTGTTACTGCTGCTCGCGCTGCTGCTGCTCACCGATATGATCGAGTGCGGCCGCTTGGCGATCGATTCCAGGTCCGAGGGCAAAGCCACTATTGAGTTCCGGAACCTTGGGGCAGCTGAAAAAAACAAAAGGACCGTGTTTAACGTCGACGCTTATTTATTGGCTGTCATTTTACACCGGAAATGCGGCGATGAGGACGTGATGGGTATACACGAAATGATGGTACGAAGGACAGGTATATGGATAGGATGGTAACTAAAAATCATTGGATTTTGGATTGTTCAGTTGATAGTGCCATGGTATAGATTTGTGGGTTAATTTTTCGGGCCACGATGGAGTCCGAGTAAGTATTTTAAGCAATATACTTGCAAAGCTTACGTGTAGAACACTTTTATTTGTTGCTGCAGTGAAATTGTTGTATTAAATTGGTTTGAAAAAAAGGAGGAGATTAGAGRATGATGAGGAGGCGTGTAGGATGGGTCCAAAAATCTATTTGATTTCAAAAGATTCGTATTCAGAAGAAAACCGGCCGCAGTTTGATGTGTACGTATAGCCGATATGTATATTAATCATCTGCCACAGACCGGGTTATAATGGTTAGGAACTAAACAGTCGAACTCACTTTTACTGAGCTGCGCGAACGTGATGGATCGATCGTTTATTTGATCCGCACTCGGCCGGATGTCCAAACAGGGCTTGTTGCCAATTCCCATAGAAGACATTTCCGCCAGCCTAATCTCTGCAATGAATAACAATGTGATGAGTATAATACTTATTTTATTATTGACCGATATCGGTGCGGGTGGTACGCGACAGCAATATATTTTGTCATCTTTATATTATTATGTTGCACGCACAAAACATAAAGGTAGAATATAAAACCGATCGTACGCGTAACAGTCGTAACAGTCGTTTTCAGATATACGCTGAATATATCACTCTTATTTCTAGCTAGTTCCGGTACGCGTACCTCTATTTCGTAGCGCCTGTTTCCACAGTAAATTTGACAACTCGTCGGTCCACGCCTGTTTGATGTCCTCTGACATGGACACCAACGTGTAGGTGTCGCCCGGCTTGCGTTTCCGGAACCATATTTCGAATTTGGTGTTACTGTCGCCGACTTTGGCGGTGAACCCGATGTCACTTGTTTTTATACTGTTCTTGTACACGTACAAGTCCAGATTCTGTAACGGAAAAAAACATGTATGAAATAACAGTTCGATTATTATCATAGAACATAATAGAAGCGACAGCTATCAAAATCCCATTGATCAACGAAAAATATTTCTGTTGACCTTGAGCTGGAGGCTCGGCATGATGTTGGCAGCGGATGACCGGTATGATGTTGTAACCGTATCGCAATGCTTAATGCATTTCCTAATTTTTAAAAATTTAAATTATCGATATCATCGAAAAAAGTGTTAACAGTCTAAACATGCTACAAATTTTAAATTACAATACGGTTACAACATTATGCCTAGCCTCCACTGCCAACTTCATGTTGAACCACCGGCAAAATGAAAACAAATCGATCAGCTGTTGGACTGTCGCTTCTATTATGTTCTATGTTATTATATAAGGCGGCGAGCCAGTTGTGACCTGGTAATGAGCCACACCGCGGTAACCGGAATCCGGTGAGCTGCAACACAACCGCGGTCGGTTAAAGGCGACCACGCGCGTACTCACCGTTTGGTCGGGGAATCGTCTCGCCTTGCTGAACAGTATGAGCTCCTCGAACAGGAATACTTGTCGCAGGCACTTCTTGCCTTTGCCCTGCCACACGAGGAACTCGTTCTGTCGCAAAAGTCGGCCCTGCTCCTTCAGGTTGACGTCGCACTCCCGGAGCGAGTCCATGGCCAGCAGATCGTTGCCGTGCCTCAACTGGAACCTGACCATGCTCTCGGCCAACCGGAGGTGTTCAGTGTCACCTTTGGCCATCTTCATGAGCTGCTGCAACAGAAGCGCATATTTGCCCATCCTCTGCACGGGCTTCAACAAGTAACTGGCCAAGTCCATTCGGTCGCGAAGTTCTATTTGTTTTGCCTGAAACACAGTAACATTGGCCGTATGAGTATAAATAGGTACGAAGATGACATGTTAAACCAAGGTCTCAAAAGTATTGACGAAATAACCACAATATTTCACACCAACCTTAAAGAATGCAGAACCATACTCAGACATCAGCGAATCCGAATTCGGTTTGTTCTTGTTGTATAGCGCGTACAAGTAAAATTTTTTTTCCTGTATATATATAAAAAAAAAAAAAAAAACATGACGCAATTAAAGTCAACAATCATAAAATAATAATATTATCACATTGGCGTATACCGTTCTGTCGAATCAGTGCAAATGCCGCGGTACCGTCGTAATATTCGCCAAATATTATTTCTGTAATAGGTTACTATCGTGTACTTACGTGTTTTAGAAAAGATTCTCCAACTTGTAAAGGACAGTTCTCGTGTCTCTCCAACTCCTTGAGGAAGTGTTGGCTGTGAAACTCGTAGATCTTTTCAATGTTGCCGAAAATGACGTTGCGTTGACCTCGCAGGGCTTGCGGTATGTCTTCGTTGAGCAACATAGGGACGTAGTTTTCGATGACGTATTCCAGAGACTTGACGTAATCCCGTTCGGTCTGTATCATTTCTCTCATGATAAGCTTAACGGTCCTGCGAAAATCACAATCATAAGTTATCGATTTGTTTCGTTTCTGGCGACCTATTCAATAGTACAAGGATTCTCAAACATGTGCAGTGGTACGCATACTCGTTGGGGGTATTCGACATTTTTTAAGGGGTACGGTTAAGGTTTAAAATGTATACAATTATTTAAATTCGTTTATATATATTTCAGTTTAGTGACTAAGAAAGGGCACCTAAAACAAGGTTTTACTATTGGTAAAAAGGAGTACAGTGTTCACAAAAATTTGAGAAACCCTGCAATAGTAAAATGTATACATCACGGCTGTAGTACTCACTTTTGCAACTTTAGCGTCTGCGTTCCACAATCCATGTTCAACTGTAGGTTGGACATGTAGTGCAGATGACTGTTGACGGATAAGGGCGGCATACTTTGATTTTTGCTGCAACCGAGATCGGCGCAATTAGTGTCATCACTCTCTTCATTACTGTAAAATAAACACACATGGAATAAATATTGGTTATTTGAAATTACAATCGGTGTCAGTCAAAATTGTATAGCCATAAAAGTTTTGGTTTAAAAAATAAAAAATAAAGTTACGACCACATGACGTCTGTTATCTGTGTAACAAAGTATGACACCTTACAAGTTAAATTAAATAGGTACTTAAATTCATCTATTAAATATTTCTCAGAAACAAGTATTGACTATGCGACTACGCTATGCTGTTATCAGATAGAATATTGTGCGAACTCCTGTTAAATTGTATTATTTTAAATCTAAATGTTATTATGCATATAAAATATGAATACTATACGTACTATCCGACTAATAGTTATAAATTTAGGCTTAGAAACTTAATAAGTCCTAAAAAGCTAAACAATGCGTAGAAAATATTCATAAAACTATTTTAGACTCTTATTGTAGGTATTTCAAATCTTTTTATTCTAACCTAATATTTGCATAAACTATTCAAAATAAAATATTTATATTCCATAAGTCTCAAGGCCTGGTCATAATATGGTTTTAAGTTTAAATCATAGATTCGGAAAAAAATAGGGATGCACCTACTGTTAATATTGTGATTGGATATCGATTTTTTTATTGCTGATGACAACTGTGAATTTTTATTTCAAAATAACTATACCTCTTATTTTCATCACTCCCTTCAGTCGTGTGAGAGCAGCTCAGTTTTTCCTCGTCCTCTTCATCATTGTAAGTCCAATTGGCGGACGGGATATGACTGAGCGCGAGCCGGTCTGTCTCGCAATAAAAGTTTTCTTCCGTAGCGCCAACCCAGCCACAATGATGGTTGTCCGCTGTCGTGTTACCATTTGTTGCATGTTGCTCCGGTGCGGACGTCCTTCTAGGTGGCAGGGGAGTGCTAGTCGGGAATGTTTCCGGTCCCAACAGGTGCTTCAGTTGATCGTTGGTCTCTTCGCATCTTACCATGGCAACCTGTTTTTAAAAATAAAAGACCATTGTAAGACACTGTCAGTCGGAATGCGTTAAGAAAAATTGACAATGACGGCGCACGATCATCATTACCTTGCACTGTTTGATTAGTTTATCATTGTTGAGCTTGTTGGCCAACATCATCATCTCCGTGAAGTGTTGAGCAGTAGGAGATGGATGTGCCATTAAGTATCTTCGCAGTTCTTTAATGTTACGTGTGTCGTGCTTTTCGGATATGTACTTCATACATTCCAAAGCCCAATCGTAAGCCTGTGAAAATATTATTTTTTTATTAGTATCGCTTTGAATGTAATATGTTATAAATATTTATAAGAATTGTTCGAAATGCGATTCACGAAGCTAATACTTTTATAATCAATATACTATTCAGCTGATTCTTATTCCGTTTTAATACTTTTAACTATTTTATATTGCGTTTTATTGCCTATATAAAATATAAATATATCAGTGGTCGGCACCTTTTTGGACTCTTGAGCCACATTCATAAATTTAAATTAGTTCGTGGCCCAGAAAAAATTCAAAATTTTATATTCTTAAATTATTTACTATGAAAAAAAAGTACTGAATAAAACCTTAAAATAAAAAAATATGTAGAATAAAAATTCCTGTTTTTAATATATATAATTTTATTATCTGAGTCTTTTTGTTTATATAATTTATCATATCTTTAGCTATTTATAACTTAATTTTACTATTATTCTACTGTTTTCTCTTTTTTTTTCTACTTATTATATTGATTGTTAATACTCTAACGTATTGTAATTGTTGAGCTAGATTTAAAATAAAAAGTTAAAAAAGAAGAAAAAAAAATATATATAATCATAATATAAAAGTATGTGTGATGGAGATCCTTAATGTGATTTTTGTTGTTCGATATTGTTTATATATCGTTAAATATATTATATAATGTAACTTCACTAGATTTTTTATTTAATTCATACTCTATTACAAATAGGTTATATTTATAATACATTATTATAACATCAAATATTATATTATAATTATACTTCATTAATATGTATATATTATTATAGCAAACTCGTAAAATTCTAATGATAAATACATGCAATTATACAATTATAACCTATTTAGTATTTACCTTATCGAGTAGGTAAAAACAGCGTGATGTGTCTTCGAGTCTTTCACGAGTTTCTTCAAGTCGATCACTAAAACCTCTTAAATGCTGCTTTAGGGATTTGGCTAGATCTTTTAGACTGGTGCCATTGCTACATTGGCCCGCTTCTTCCAACAAATCTCCAGCTTTGTCGAGATTTTGCTGTAAACATAAAATAAGAAATTTCATTAGAACTAAATACACCGCTAAAATAATATTTATGATGTAAATTTTTGTTATTAAACTAATTAGTAATATGATTTATTAGAATTAGATGCGATGAAAATAGTTAAGCCCAAGCAGTTTATAGTTATTTATGCTATTATCGTAGATATATATGTAATCGTATTTTGAAGAACATTATTGATAATGTGAGACCAATTTGTGCATAAAATATATCCAATAATTAGCTACGCGTAATTCAAAGTGTTTGTTTCAGTACAGAAACACATAACAATAAAATATAATTATGTGCACAGACATCCATAAGAATATTATAAATTACCTCAAGGTTTAACCATATAAATTTAGTGTTTAAAAATGACAAAAATTATTTGTATATATTATTAAAAAATGAAATTTTAATTAATTTTATCATTACTTTTTAGTAAAAAGTAATGATAAATGAAAAAAAAATCAAATAAAAATATAAAACTCATCTTCATATTGTAAATATATGACGTACATGCAATGTTTTAATAACAAGCATGTCATACATATTGGTTGTACCACTAAATACATTTTTTAAGAATATATTTTTAAAACTGTTTTTATTGTTTGTTGTTAAAACACAAATATGATGAAATTCCATCAACAAGGCTACACATTTTGCATAAAAATACGTCTTGTGAAAATCTACAAAGCCAAAAAATTCAACAATCGCCTTTCGCAATAATAATTATAATACTTGGTTAAATTAACAATAGACTAAATAGAAATCTTATACCATGGTATGATACCATGGTAGTTAGTTTATTGAAAATCTAAATTATTAAATTGAAAAAAAAATTACCGATAACATTGTATATAATACAGTCTAATAGATCAGCCAGGTCCTAATAGTTTAGTTTTAGTTTGACTTCTGAAATTCTAAGACTATAAAAACCAATACCACYAATCAACAAAATACAAAGGTTTGAATTGTAAATAATACAAATTAAAACAAACCATCGACATATTTGACTTTTGAAAACTTCTCAATATGAACTATTAAGTTTGGTTAACGTTTTCTAAAAAAATAATACCACATACATGTGGTACTATATTAGACACAAATTCTGTATTTCAAACACGTATTATGACTACAAAATCAATTTTACATTTAATAATATCGTCGGGTTAGATATTTATTTTGTTTGATGTTGCATTTTAAATGTATTTATTTTATAGTTTTCAATCCCACAGTAGTATAGGTACTGCTAAAAAAGAATTATAAAGAAAAATGCTTGAGCGGAAAAAATGTATAAGTAAATTCAATAAATTCATTGTAAAAAATTAAAAACATTTTTGTAAAACTAGTTTATTTTCAGAGACAGCCAAGAATATTGATTTTTAGACAATCCCTTGAGGTTATCATAATTTATTGTTAGTAAAATATAATAATAAACAATTGAGAAAGATCGATGAGATACCTAACTTGAGTTATAATGTTACTCAGACTTCACAGTAATTCAATAAGTGGTAATTAGTTCTACAAAATGAGCTCTACAATCTTATTCATTCGATGGAATTAGAACAAATTAGAGGTGCAAATATCTCGCAGAACCTACATAACACATAGATTAAACCGTTTTTGAAATGTATATTAGTAATTAAATGTGTTAAGCATTAAATACTACAGCCTGTTTTAAAATATATTTTAGTGCTTACGACAATGACGAAAACAAAAATTCTTGTTTCATATACAGCTGGTACAGGTAGTACACATAAAGGATCGATTAATCAATTCCATTTTGCAAGCTGCGCACATTTAAGTGCGGTGCTCCAAAAACAACATTACTCAGCAAAACATTATACACTTTGGTGTTAGTTGGATATTATTCGTGTTGTGGTGGCTCCAAGGCTTGGTTATATATCATGTCAAAAAGTTTTTGGAATTAGGTTATTTAGAAACTTACACATCTTATAGCATTAATATGAATATATGAATAAAAAACTGGAGACGAAAAAAATTCTTTAATTAAGGTATACAATGTGGTAAAAGTATAGTGTATAGGTATACCTATGACCTAAGTTTGATATTTTTGTATCATTTATATATAAGTTGCAGTAATGATAGACATACACGAGAAAATCAAACAATATTCATATGTAGATTTAGGTCGTGTGAAAATATAATTAATACAACATTTTATTGAAATAAATTATTTATCCTGTGAATAATACAGAGACTAATAATAGCTGTTAAAGCTATGCATTTTACTTAGAACTGTAGTTGTTGTAGACTAGTTCGACCTTTCGCAGACGCGCATGTTTTATAATATTTAATTGTCGTGTACCTACTAATTAGTTATTGCTATTTTACCGATTTAAATGTAAGCAGGTACATATACATATTTATTTTGCTGCAGCGGCTTACATTTGAGTAGTGAGTGTTTATGAATACATTTAATGACATTCGTATTGTCTTTGAGACTATAAAAACCTATATAGGTTTATTCATTGATTAAAAAACACATAGGTGCATAGAAGGCCCAACTGAGAAAAAGTGAAAAGTCAAGTTAATTAAGTTCTATATTTTAAACCTGATGATGATATGTTCGAATGAGCTACAGCCGGTTTCATCGAAACACATTTTATTTCATTTTACAATATAAAATGAAACTGACGCGTATGCACACGATTGGCATAGGGGAATAGCGTAAGACGAATATATCTCGTTGGGTGTTTTGCGTGGGTGGAAATCTACTAAAGGTACTAGCCCGCTGAGCCAAATTCATAGATTTTAATACTATTGGACGGAGGTGAGACCTGCAGGTCAAACCCGGGTCAGTTAAACAATTTAAAATAACGTTAATTTATTTATGCTGTGGCTCAGAGCCTGCCAATATATTTGATTTACGTTTCTTTTAAAACTATCAGACGATTTAACAAATTGAAATCAATACAAATCATTAGAAAAACATGCATTCGACATATTATCTAAAATAGAACAAATATTGTAAAAAATGTTTTTCTAATATTCTAATTTATATTCGATGGAGTATGAGATTGTAATACAATCTTGTTAGTCGTACGAGTTTCGTAATCGCATAACGGATAGTGAAAGCAGAAAGGCGTGCGAATAAATGGATCTTCGGCGATTGTCATATTTTATAGGTGGTTGCATTATATCGCATAATATGCATATCAGCTGGTATAATTACTAATTACAGGCATGCTTAAATTATAACATCGGTTCGAAGTTAACAAATAATAATGTTATATTAATAATAATAATAAGAAGAAGAAGAAGAAGAAGAAGAAGAAAGAGATTAAGAATTTTTTTCTTTAGGTATGTGAGATTATGTCGATTAGAATGTACATGGGTTAACGACCGACTCTTTTTAGATATGAATGAATGAACATAAGTGTAGTGATCCCGTGTAAAGGGTTCACGTAAATGTATAATTTATACATATGTTGCATATAGACATAATACTTTTATGTTATGTATACACATATTGACTATGATATACATACACCTATGTAAAACCGCTGTAATCGACGTCGTCGTTTCAATGTTTTTTTTCGATAAAAGCGATAGATACCGTGATAATGTTGTAGATGTAGGACGGTGTCATGATCATTATTGTCATAAAAATATATATCATGACGATTTCAATATTCCAATTGAATACACGCGACTGTATAGTAAACGAAAGGCTCGTAAATCCGATATACCTATTACGCGCGTCGACTCCAGCTCAAATAATTCCTACGACACACGTTATATTATACATACAACACACCTCATATCATATCGTATTGTTAGAATGTCGTCCACACGTGTAGCACAATGTAATAATATTAATAATAATAAGTATATCTCGGCGGTATAATATTATACCGGTTTGTACCATTTCCACATTATACGCATAATACATTATATGTATACCTATACACACGTGAGTCGATTAATAAAAAGTACGAACAGTGTTTCAAAACACACATTCGGACATTATAATAATATTATTATATATAGGCATCATGCAGCAGCATCGGCTTAAGGCGTTATTAAGGTCAACACGCGTTCACTCATATACACATGTTATTATTATTATTATACATCATATTATATTCGTATTGCAGCATTATAATGTATATGTATAGGAAGATACCATTCTAGTTACTGGGTGTATAGATATTATAATAAAAAAATAGTTCGGGAGAGCTTGAACGGAGACTGGACAGGACAAATCCAGATGCGGTCACGAGCACGCTGTAAGCAACTATAATACATAACATTATAGGTAGGTAGGTGGTAGATTGGCTGGCTATAGGCGAGCTGCAGGCAAATGTACCATATTATATTATAATAAACAGTAATAATATTATTGTGTGTACCTATAGGTGACCCGCAGACGAAATGCGAGCGAAATTTTATCGTATATAAGTAGGTACCTATGAAATAATGTACGTTTAGACGCGTGACGTGTTTATGATATTGTTATATAATATATTCTACTCTTACCTGCGCGTTTAATAAATAAATAAACACATACATATTTCTATATATATATATAATGTTGCCAGACGACGCCTATCTCGCAAAGTTTCGAAGTACGATTTTTTTTCATATTTTCGACAATGTCGCAATGATATTGTGATAATATAAATTTTTTTTTGGTCACTCGTCAGATTTTTTCAGCTTATCACAAACATCCACATACCATATGCGTCTCGGTCTCTTGGGCTATATGATACGCGAAAAACCACGAATAGCGTACGACCGGTTGGATCGACGATGGTTATAATAATAATATACACAAATGCACTGTATAAATAATATTAACAATAAATATGTGTTTGGAACTTTCACAACGATTTATGGTTTGCCGAAAACTAATTGACAATTATTTTTCAAAAATCGAAAACAATAACAAAAGTCGACAAACGGAAAAGTCCTTGCAATGGACCGAAATCGTTTGGACCGGCCAAAAACTGTTTTGCACTGTCGTTGC